TCAACTGTCTCCATCTTGGTAAATATCCGTGCTATTTGAAACAACTGATCAAGCAAAGATCTACTGTTTACTCCCTTAGGGGCACCAATATTTTATCACTTCCTAAGCCGTTTACAACCACATATGGTCTAAATTCTTTTAGCTATTCATCTGTTAAGTACTGGAACTCCCTCCCTAACCACTTTAGAAAGACTCTAGATTATAGTGAATTTAAGCGCAAACTGTTAGTGCACGGTTTCTGTTAATATTACATTAATATTACATTATATTATTATATTAATGATTATTATATTATTATATTATGAAATATTTTTTTCTCTTTTAAGCCTTGTTCTTGCTGTAAATTTTAAAATTAGTAATTAGGATGGAGATACTAGCTTGTAAGCTACACTGAAATCCGAGGATAAATAAAGCTTATGTATGTATGTATGTATGTATGTATCGAAAACGGGAATCGGTGATATTTTCAATAACAATCATAGCTTAGTGTTTAGGTGCCGGTTTCGCATTCGCATGAAAAAACAAAGAAACGCCAAGGCCTATGGCAAAAATTTGAAATATAAATAGTCAGTAGAAAACCGCTTAAAATAAATTGTATGATCCAGTGAAAACTTCATTAATCAATTGCAATTACTAATACATCAACCTCCCACCCCTCCTTGCGTACTAATAGTTCGTCCTCCATCCCTCCCTCGGTAACAACAGTTTGCCTACCACCCCTTTCTAAGTACTGATAGAATACATTTCACCCCTTCCTAATAACCAATGTTCTGAGAAATAGTCCAAAAAAAAAAGTTCCAAAATATGGTCCTAAAAATGGTCCATAAAATAGTCCAAAAAATAGTCCGAGAGTCCAAGGGTCCAATGATCCAGTCAACATTTTACCCTATGCCCATAGGTTATGATATTTGCATTAAAACGGTTTATGATAGTCAATGATAGTTGAAAAAATCACTTTATGAGATTGCGTTATTGTACACAAATATGGCGCGCTATGAGGTTAGAAAAAAGTTATGGCTCACTAACATCCGCTCGTTCAAACGGCTGAAACTATCATCATCTATCTCGCCTTTTTTAACGGGGCTTAAGAGACTTTTTATAGTGGCCGTTTACATTATCAACACAGTTAATAAAACCAAATTAGCTCGTCATACATCTCCACCGACGCAGCACCACGGGTTCTTTAGAACTTTACCCCATTTATTCAACTAAGCTCAAGCAAACCTGCGAGCCAGCAAATTTTATTGAACCTTGAATCGACTCAAGTTACATTAGCTTAGGTTTTATCATTTTAAAATAGCTTTGACATCCTTTTAACCACCTTATCTGAATTTCAGACTTGAAAAAAATTCATGAACTTCGCGAAACAATAGATAGAAACTGTCTGATTAGAAGTAAATAATTCTTTCTTACGTCAGACATCCGAGAACATCATAGAAAGATTCAAATCTCATGTAGGACCAACAGACAAGGCATTCTTAAGCTAATTAAATGATATCTCTCCCCTCGATTCATATCCCTTATTATCGTCGGTGAAAATATTCCCGGAGCCTACATAACTTTGTGAAGTTAGTTGGTCAGGTGCCAGATTGAGCCCCCATGTTACGTTTCCTTTTTAGAGTGTTACGGCCCTTTATCACCTCAAATAATATACTAAAACAAGTGTTACATACTAATGAAGGTATTTATTTATCCACGACAAATTACTGTCTAGCTGATGTGGTCGTGTCTTAGTCAAGTCTAAGAAGTAAAAAGTAATGGGAAATTACATTCGTGATTAAAACTACAAATACATGATTAAAACTACAAATACATGATTAAAACTAGAAATTGATGATTCAATCTTTCCACATCAATACTAATAAAATGCAAATTTAAAAAAGACTGTGGCCAGCAAGCGTCGTCTATAATTCGTTCCATCAATGTTCCACGTCACCCAAACGATTCTCCACTGCACACAGCACGAGCATTTCGTCGACCCTTCCCATGTTCTTTGCTCCAAGCGACCAGGGTTCTTCAATATCCTGCGCAATTAGGACTGTTGGGTGTCTGCCATTGCTCATATGGACCCCAGTGACGTTTCGCTGTCCCTCCGACTGACGTTTATCAAATGAGAAAAGACAAATTACCGACGAGGAACTTTGGAACCATGTTAATGTATTCTTTTTCAACGCCTTGGAATTTTCTTAGTTATTACGGGTATGCTCAACAAAAGCAAATATATTTTCAGTAAAATCATTGCTTTCAAACCCAAATTGAAAATCATTACAGTTTAATTCCAAAAGCCTTCGTTTCAATCTGTCCACTCAAGAATTGAAACGTTGATGACAGGCAAAAATGAGTCAAAACGAATTCTTTATCGAATGAAAACGCACGTGTGGATGCACCCTTAAAGATTTAAATGAAGATAATGGGAAACTGGACGCGAAGTTTTCAATTTTTATGTTTGGATACTTTTGCTGTATTCTTGTTTCTTAAATGAAAAAGAATAAGCAAACGTGAACGGAAAAACAAACAACCACACAAAAAAAAACCTAAAAACCACGAATATTTACCTTTTTTCCACCTTTAAATCGCTTGTACCACGAAAGCCCCAAAACACCATTGATAAGTAGGGTTACCACCACACAAGATGCAGCGATTACTATCGCAATCTGACTAGTTGAGCTTTCCTGCAGTTTTGTTTCGGTTATTTCTGTGATATAAGACAAAAGATCAAACTAAAACTTAAAGACTTTGATGGCCAACATCTTTCGTCGTAATGATTAAAAAAGGACCGTGCATAGTCCAATTAGGTTTCTGGCCATACGAGTGATTGACCAAATTGGACGACCGTGAAATGCGAGTCCGATTTGCCAATCCATCCTGACATGACAATGACATCCTGTTACCAATTAATTATAACTACTAAAAATTTCCGAGGAAAGCTAAATGTATTCATTAAAAGAAGGACTTCTGATTCCAATCGTTAACCACTTGGTCATTACAATTTTGTGAAAGACACACACTAAAGCGCTCTAAAGACAACTTCCAATATTTTTTAACCCTCAGCTTTGGATGGTATGCCATTGCTATGGTTACTGTCATCAATTCTGTCTTTGGTGGACTTATTTGAGCTTGCTTAATGTGATTTACTGATGTAACTGTTTGATTACCAGTGTCCGATTCCGACCAACTTTCCGCTTACAACACTATGAAGTTATAAAAAATAAGGCAGCTCATCCACCAATCATATTCGAGGAAACTGGGATGGTATAATATACTAATCATTGGTACAATTTAGGATGGCAAATATTACTATGATGGTCAATTACGACATACATGCATGAAGAATATTAATGCAAGGTGATCACAAAAATGTATTTAAGTCTTGCTGACTCAATCCCACTGTGTGAGCTGCAGCAAAGGAAGTTTGAAAATGTTGACTCACAGTGTTTTGAACGGAATTTATACTCGGCCTGTATATAAATTTTAGTGAAATCGATACATATTTTCCGAAAGAAAAACTACAAATGTTCCTATGATTTCAAGAACTTGCCTTCCTTTGCGTGTAAAGAGGCTAACTTTGACTCCCTCTTTCCGGCTGTTCGGCATTGATACGTGCCTTCATCTTCGTTCGTCTTCTCCTTTATAAGCTCTACGCTTAGTATACTGTGGCATTTTGTGGCATCTGAAGTTACAACGACCTTTACCTTTGAATTGGTTTTGGAAACATTTGAACCATTGCTATTGTTTGGCTTGTAATGACAACAGGCAGTGAGGCTAAAAGTTCCGTTGGAACCAACTGAATTACTTTTGGTTTTTGGGTCTTCCCGCTTTTCTGTAATTGAAACAAGAAAATTACTATTAAAAGGTGAGAAGAAATGGATGCTATGTTCGGAAAGGATCTGTAATAGTAGGGCAAGCGGAGCAAATGTGACACTCTCTCCATTCGCGTCGACTCAAGAGGCATAACCTTAATAGTAAGCATAGCTCTTGTTTCGATGAGACTACTTTAGCAGTTAGCACAAAATAACAAGCCAAATGCATTTGCTCTATTTGACAAACCACGCCCTTGTCATGGAGATCTTTAAAAAAAAGATTTTCTTTTGTGTTTCCACATGGATGAAGTTAGGCCCTAGACACAACTAAACCGGGTCACCACATAAGGATAGCGACTCCTGATTCTTTTTCACCAACGACGTTCTTTGCAATGCACTTACATTTTCCATAATCTTCCTTCTGTTCTTTTGTTATTGTAAGCTGGCTGCGATTGTTTTTGTCTTCTTGAACAAGACATGCTCTGGGTATTAAGGGGATATAAAGTATTGTCCCTCATCTACTGGATTGTTGACCTCGGGAGACCCTTAGCAACACAGTCAAAAGTTACAGTAGAATTGATCAAGACACTTCGGCTCACTGGATGTTAAAGGAGTAGTTTTGTAAAAAGTGGGAAATCCGAAACGCTCTTGGGGTCAAAATAATGATTTTACTAAAAAGGCAGAAAAAGGGAAACTGAATAGAAAACGAAAATCAGCGCGCAGTCTTAGTATTAAGCTATAAATTTTAGTTGCATTTCGATTACATTCCTCTTCACGGTCAAGCTTCTCGTCTTCGACACAAAAAATGCCAAGCCTATGAGGCTGCTTAAAGAGTAAGTCGCTTACTGCAGATCAGATATTAAAAATGGGGTCTAATCTGAGTCAAGATAAATGGAGGTCAAGTCGGAAAGTTGCTTAGCTAGGTGAGATGTTTTCCCAGCAGGGTTCAACTGATGTAATTAAGACTTAACATCTCGCACAGGACGCTCAACCGTCGCTAAATAGCTCAAAGTTGTGAGGAGCTGTAAATGGAAAGTTTTTCTTCTCACCTTTCTGGCTTAAGAAGGCCGATAATGATACCTTTTTTCCAATGCTGTTAATTGCCACGCATTTATATCCGCCAAAATCCTTCTTCTTCACTTTCGTTATGAAGAGCTCACTGTGGATGCTATTCTTGTCCTTTGCGCTTGAATTGGATTGCAAGGTATTAAAATCATCGTTCTTGATCCATGAGATGTTTGGCTTAGGAAGACCAGTAGCATTGCAATCGAAAGTGACATTGGAATCTATGTAAACACTTTGATTCCTTGGAACCTCCAAAAAAACCGGTGCAGAGCCTGGAGGGAAAGTGCGCACTAATATAAATACAGTCAACTCCCTCGTAAGAGGACATCTTCGGGAATTGGAAAAAGTGCCCGTTATTAGAACTGTCTGCCTCCGATAGCTTGCTTTCCCGCGGACAAATGGAGATTTAACAAACCCGATCCCAACTGTTCTGTTGCTCTGTCAAGTGAAACTCACATTTTGTTGATTTCCAAAGTCAGGACAATTTTGTTTGCCTAGAGTAATAAATTACCCATTGGGTGTCGCTTACGAGGGAGTGTAAACAAAAGAAAAATCACATTTTCAATTTCAAAAGTGTCCGCGTCCGTTTACGAGAAACTGGGAGGCAAGAAAAGAAATTGAAAAAAGTGTCTGTAAGTAGAAAAATCCGCTTACGATATCCACCTTTCCCAAACAAGAACGTAAGGTGTTTACCGTCACGCATTATGTAAGTGGGAAATAAAAAAAAAACTAACGAACAAACAAACAAAAAAGGAACAAAAAAAGACAAATGAATAAACGAGTTATGATGAAATACGTACCTATTGTAAATGATTGCCTTGTGCAGTGCTTTCTATAATGATTGCCCGCTTGGCAAATATAGTGGCCAAATTCATCTTCTGTCAGATTTTTAAAAACCAATGGGCAGCTGAATTTTCTTTTATATGCAAATATGCTTGAAGGCTGCTGGCATTTTGCTCCAACTTCTGTACCATTTGGGTTGTACCATTGAATATACTTGACCCATCTATCCATGTACCCTCTATCTATAGTTCTCGGCTCTGCTTTACAAATCAGAGTTATGGAGGCACCAACGGCTAAACTGACATTTTCTGGACTTGGAGAGATGACGACAACGGGTCTTACTGTACAAGAGAGGAAACTAGTTGGTGAAAAAATACTGATAAAATATGGTTTTCTATCTCTATTCCAACCGAGAAGGACAAGAATGAAAAAAAAAAGTTTAAAAGAATAGGCCATACTCTTCGTACCGTGGGTTTTCATTGCTTACTTCTGATTTTGGAATTGCACGTTTCGCTTCTGACAAACGGAGGATTCCATAAAGTGCTGGCAAGATTCAATAGTAGTATCCACTTTGTTGCCTCTCTCAGCCAAAAGCCACCCATCGTCGTGAAATGTTGTCGAGGTGTATCCGAAGGCCTGCAAATGGGATTGTCAATTGGAAAAAAGGTAAGGAGCAGGATTAGTCAGACAGGGTAGGAACAGCCACCTTAAGAAAATGCTTTTCGAACTACATTTAAAAGTGTTGTTTTTAGACAGGACCTTACATGGAAATAAGGAAAATAACTCCTTTAAATTTAATCAGTCGTTGAGATAAGGGCAGACTAGTAGGGTACGAAGATGAAATCATTGACTACATCAAGAATATGACTAAACCCATTATTGTGGGGTGTCTATTTACAACGATGAGTTTTAACTCATTAATATGGTCTTTTTCATAAAAAATTCTCTTTTTTCGTCAATTTCTATAATTTTCCCTAGTGCCCTTTGTCTTTTCTTTAAATTGACTGCACCAGATACCAATAAAATCTCAACTTCCCTTGGTTTACCAACCGCCTGATAGTTAACAAATATTTAGTTAAATTAATTCCAACATATCGGAGAAAATGCAAATGTTCTAGTTCTGGAAATAATTGCCAACAACAGTTCTACGCATTCTTCGTGTTCCTACGACATTATTTCTACAAACTCTCTCTCTCTTTTTGTCCCTTTCATTCGCGTATTCTGCAATTTTTCTCTCTCCTTCCCTTTTTATTCTCATATTCTAAAATTCAATGCCTCTCCGCGGCAACTTTCTGACTGCTTTCAATTTCGATTTTCCGCGAAAAATTGAGGAAAAGACACAGACACTGCCGTTATGTCGCTGCTTCAGATATCACCTGGTATCGTTATTGGTTCTTTCATTCTTCACTAATTTAAACGCCGAAGGTTTAAGATGTTAGTTACATTGTAAAATAAATGGCCGCTGGAGAAAAAAAATTTTATAACTTTTGACTAACTGTGTATCCAAGGAATTTAAAAGAATCAAATAATTTTTTTTATCATTGCTCGATATAGAGTAAATCCTCTTCTACCTTACTTGAATCTCTATTTTAATTATGGTGTATTCAGAAAATGAAGGAAATGAGGGAAATTTGAGATGGACATGATTCTTATAGATAACACCTGTAAATATACGTTTCTAGAAATCTCTAGTATGCATAGTCATGCTAACATACACGAATAAAAGTATGTTAACTTTAAAATATATTAAAAATAAAAAATTAAAAAAATCAATTTTTGGTGACGGCTTGTACAAATATGGAAGCTATGTCATGCAGGTAGTCCGCGTAACCTTGGTAACAAAACGTTTGCTACTAACTGCTATGATAACTAACGGCTACGTGATTAACATTAACTGAGCGTATATATTTTTTGGCTTACGTGTAGAACAATTCATACTGTCAATTAAATTTATTTACAACTGGAAAAAAAGAAATTTCAAAAACGTCATACTTCGAAGCAGGAAGACTTTGCTTCCCGTTCGAGTCTAAACAGCCACTGTCTACACAATAGGCACCTTTAGCAGTTAGGACGGCAACGCCAAGGAAGGCGTCCGATTTACAACTGAATATAAATATAATATAATATATATATATATATATATATATATATATATATATATTTAGTTGGAATTTTGCGCCTGACTGGATGTTTCTACCATCTCTTAAGGCGCCATAAGTTAACCTCAGCATAACGTATGGGAGCGGCGTTGAGTTCTAAATGAAATCTTAAATCATTTTTCCTCGGCGTTTCCTTTCTCGGACCACCCAAATTTTGATGATTTCACGTTGTCATTTTGCAGGGGACGGTCAAGAAATGTCCGCAGTTTTAAAACCCACATGCTGAGCTATTGTTCTGCTCGTTAGATCTTTTGCTTTGCCACATCCTCATTCCCGTCGCCGCGGTGGTTTGTTAAAAGCGACGCCGTGGACAACGTCGGTTAAAAAAACGAACTTATATTTTACCTACGATACTCGCAATACTCTAAAGTCTCTAGTTTGTTCGTTACAGTAACATCTATCCCGACACTGAATATGTAACACAGAGATAAATTAGAAATAGAAATTTAAAAAAAATCAGCCGTCCTCCTTCACGTTCACCAGACAACGCAAATTTTGATCATTTTATGTTTTTTCAGAGGACGCAAAGAAATTTACAAAGGCACGTGCACAGCTATTGTTCTGCCCATCAAACCTCTTGTCCAATGACGTTCCCGTTGCCGTTTCCATCGTGGTTTTCTTAAACTCCCAATTGTTCATTTATTGATGTACAACGTATATGATAGTTTAGGAGTTTTAAGTTCTTTTTCATCTTTTGCATTTAGGTTTTGAATAACTTTTTTTTTCTCCGTTATCCAGCATAACGATATAAATCGCAACCATCATAAGCAGTACTTCCCTCCTTAAATTTGACCTCACCGCAAAAAGGTATCAACACAAGAGAATGATGAAATCTTACTTTAGTGATGACTCGCTCCAAGAATACAGGGACTGATAAGTCATACTATTGCTGAATGATAGCGGACGGGCAAAGGGACTAACCGAATCGACAACTTAAACCCTTCCACACCCCGATGTGATTTACATGAAACTGCTATCTTGATCTAGCACCAAGTTCTTGTAACTAATTATTCAGGTCGGAAACGGATGCACAAAAGGCGCGTTAATTGGCGTAAAGCAATGTGGTGAGCACAGCGTGGGGGCGAGATTGAGTTTTGGCATCGAATGTAATCAGGCTGGAAGTGCTGGGCCGCGCATAAACGATAACCAAGCTTGTTACAGTTTACACTTAACTTTCGAATAAACTTAAAATATTTATATAAAGCACAAACCTAATGCTATGAATTGCTTCAATTGTTAACGTACTGATGAAAAGCAATAGCCGTGGGAACAGTTAAAGTGTAATGGCTGATTGATTTAATTCGATTCATTGATTCAAATAAACGCATATTTGCGTTCACCCGGGCTTTCTGTTGGAAATAAACTTTTTTTTGTGCTTGCATTTGCTTAGGGTTACTTAATTATTGGTTTATCCTGTAACTGTTTTTTTCTCTTGGTATGCTATCCCCAAAAAATCAGTTGACAATATAACACCAATTTCAGACCAAAAGAAATCACATATGAGAATGACACTGTCAGATTTAAAACTGATAACAATTAATGAACTCTCCATGGTATCAAATACTTTGCTACTGCACATCCATCAAAAACTAAGATAAATATTGTCAACATCAAACAACTGCATGCCTATTTCCGGGACTTAGCATTATTACAGTAGGTGATTTGAATTAACTTCCACCAATTTGAAGGAAATTCGTCTTTGAAAAATATAAAAATAATGTTTACAATTTGTGCCATTCCTGGCTACTTTTCAAGATGATAGAGTTGACTAAAAATATGAGACAAAAGGATGACCAACCATTCACAGAGTTATTAAATAGATTCAGAACTGCTTCACAAACAGAGGGTGATATTCAATGCATTTAGTCAAGGCTAGTGCATCCTGAAGATACTGATTATCCAGTATCTAATGTTTTGTATTTTTGGGAAAGTTTTTCTGTATCTCCTGTTTATATTTCATATCCCTAAATTGTTTTTTCTCCAATGATATTTTTTCTCTGCTGGCTCCATTGCTTTAAAGTATTGTTTTTTTTTTTTTTTCTATAATGTTTAGTCATCAATTTTTTTTCTGTCCTTTCTGTCAAATACTTTACACGAACATGTAGCAAACAGTATTCTGTATTGCACTAGAGTATTATATTTCTCCAGTATTTTTCTAATGGCATCAACAAGTCAAGTACTTCCATTTATGTTTTTAGTGTACTGAATAGGGGAATTGTCTCTTACATTTTATAATAAAGTTCGGATATAACGCGCGCTGCCATTGGATGAAAGAGCGTGCTCTATGAGAGTATAGAGCATAGAACTGAGCTAAAGCTGTCACGCCATCTGCCAAATTGTACCATGTTCGACCTTTTCCGGGACTTCTTTTTAGCTTTTTTCCGATAATTGAAAGTGAAATTTCGGAACAAGCGAGCCGGCAAGTAGTAACAGAAGAACCAAAGAAAGGTTTGTAAACATACCAGGCGCCGTTATTTACGTTATTAAAACGTGGGAAGATACGTGGGCTAGAGCACTCAAGAAGTGGGAAGAAACACTCGACTACGTCTCGTGTTTCTCCCTACACTTCTTTCGTGCTCTAGCCGCTTCCTGCGTGCTTTATAACAGAACAGAGCACAGTCAAGGCTTCTCTATTTGCTAAATAAAGTAGGGGGGAATACATATACTTTCATCTTTTTGTGGGTTTAAAGGTACAACTAATGCAGCATAAGGAAAATTATATCAAAAACTTTGTGCATTCATTATTATGTATTATTTCATTCTCACGAATTGACTTGCTTTGAAGTGAATCAGTTAATAGTCCTTCTCTCTTAAACAAATTATCCCAATTTACTTTTGTTTCATAAACATCTACAGTTCTCGGAAGATTAACAGGTGATTGCTGGTTGTGTGCTAAGCTTGATTTACGATACGTCTTTTTGCCCTTGTCAACAATGGTGGTTAAGGATGAGTTGTAATTCCAGTAATTACATGATTTTATTATAGGGTAGCAAAGAGAGTGTAGAGCTACAGCACAACTTAGATTGAAGTTCATGGTTTCATTCAGACTGTTTTGAGAAACCATCCTATTTTGAATATTCTCAATTTGTACTCCTCTCGTTTCAACTCTCTGAAACGACTCTGAAAATAATGCACTAACTATCAGGAGACAGTACTTCGAGAACAACACATGTACCTTTAGGCTGCCCTCTACCATACAAATCTCTAACATGAGAATCAAATATTTTGAACCCCATATTACTATTACAGTAATACACCCTACTGCTAACATGAAATTGGTGTAGCTTTCAAATATGAGCGATTCCAGTTGATAATCAGTATCAAACACATTTAATGCTGTCGGTAATTCTTACTGCATTAAATATGCCTGTCTGGCTAATTGTGACAAACTTGAATAAAGCTGATTTCCAATATTCATTATTTGTATAAGATCATTTGCTGAGCTGATCCCTTGTGTGTCATGATAAATCAAAGAAC